TTAAAGGTTTTTTTTTCAAAATAATTTGAGACGCTGAATTGTCACTGTATTAACCTTTTTATGCTCCAAGATTAACAATTTGGAATGTATTTGATCTTTTTTTTTATATAATTCATAGTGCTTTCATTTTTCCATGCATTGGTATGCATCCTCATGCCACTCTATAATAATGTAAATAACTAATTGCCTTCCTTAATTAAATGTAATTAATTATAGGTATGAAGCAGAACAATCAGTCTAAGACAAAAAAGAGATTCTATTTTCGATTTATCGATTTACATCCATGAAATTTGATAAATCAGCAAAGTGGAGGAAAGAAGGGAACCTTATAACAATTTTTCTTAAAAAAACATATTTTTAACACTTAAAATTTATGTACTGTAAAATAAAAAAAAATACGTATGTATTTTTTTAATTCATAAAACTAAAACGGAAAATTTCTTGAAAGTATAAAAAAATATACATTTAGCATAAAGTATTTTTCAGAAAAAAAAAAACTTTGTTCAAAGGCTCCCTAATATACCTTTGAACAAAGAGGGGGCACCTTTGAAGAAGAAAATTTTTTTTTAAAAAAATCACTCTTTTCTTACCTAAGTTTTATATAATGTAAGTTAAAAAGCGAATTGAAACATTTCTTGCACAAATAATACTAAAACAAACGAAACAACGCACAAATAATACTGAACAAACGAAACAAAATAAGGAAATTAAGAATTTTCAAAAGTTCTGTCCATAGATAATGGCTGAGGCTTCTTTGAACTTATGAAAAAATATTTAAGACAGAGCAATTTTTATTGAAAACTAAGTTGTGAAAAGCACATAAAAATTAATTCTTCGAAGCAAAACATTTTAATTATACAATCATATGCAACGAGCCTGATTAACTCATACGTCATTTCTTAACTAATATTTAAATTATTTAAAATTCCTTTTCTTTGAATCAAGCCTTTTGTTTGGTGTCAAATTTGTCAAAATTGTGTAGCAAAGGTTCTAATCTTGCTACTATTATGAGTGTCACTATTTTAGGTCTTTTGTCAACCAGCTTTATAATAATGAAAATTTAACTAGCTTGTCTTATGTTCGTTACATATGAGTGTACATAATGGTATTTTGTGCTTCAGTATAGCCTTTACGCTGTTCTCCATATATATTTGTTTACTACTTCACGCGTATTCTGATTTACACTCTATAAGAAAAAAAATCGACGCACCAAGAAGCAATCATTCGTATGCATGAATGTTTTGAACAGATATGGCTGGAATGATGCCGACTGGGGACGTATAGTCTTTAGCGACGAATCCCGCTTCCAACTGTGTCCTGACGGTCATCGAAGACGTGTTTGGAGACGCACAGGGCAGAGGGGGGATCCTTCCTTCACTATCGCACGCCACACCGACCCTCAACAAGGCATTATGGTTTGGGGTGCCATTTCCTTTGACAGCCGGACCCCTTTGGTCGTCATTAGAAGTACACTTACTGCACAGCGGTACGTCGACGACATCCTAAAGCCTGTTTTGCTACCGTTTCTTTTGCAGCGCCCTGGGCTGGTTTTTCAGCAGGACAATGCCAGACCACATACGACACGTGTTGCTATGAACTGTCTGCAAGCTTGTCAAACTCTTCCTTGGCCTGCCAGATCACCAGATCTCTCTCCCATCGAGCATGTCTGGGATAAGATGGGAAGGCGATTGCATCTGGCACGGAATGTTGATGACCTCGTTCGACAATTGGATCGAATTTGGCAGGAAATATCGCAAGAGACCATTCGGTAGCTTTATCGGCTTATGCCACGCCGTGTGGCAGCTTGTATCCAGGCTAGAGGCGGGTCAACACCTCATTGAACTTGTTACTGTAACTCTGCAATAAATTATTCAACTGCTCTGAAATTTTAATCATTTACTATTCTGTACATTGTCTTCCTATACACCAATGTTCGTTTCAATCGGACAACTCCTTCTTGGTGCGTCGATTTTTTTGTTATAGAGTGTATTTACATAAGTTAAAACAATTGTGTCAAGCAGTTGTGTAAAAACAATCATTACTTGATTTAAGTGAAAAGTAATGATAATAATAAATAATTCTCTTTTAATGACTGTAAAAATATGTTTAAATAAGTATATTCTATTTTATGCATTTTTATTGCAATTCTGCATCTGCAAAAGTTTGCAATTTTAGGGCTTTTATTTTCAAATAAATAAACAGAATATAACTACAAAAATAGTTTGCGTGATAAAATTTTTAATACCATTGTCTAAAATATGGTATTTTATTTAAAAATTTTATTTCATTGAATGCAGGCACATTATCGTTGTATTTATTTTGGTTTTCTGGTTGTTGAAAGGTGCCTCATCGCATGTAATTTAGTTAAATCAAAACTCTATCATAGATAAGCAATTCAATAAAATAAGTATTATAAATATAAAAAAACGACAGCATTAAGATAAATATTCCTCAAATAATTAAAACTATGAAGTCTAATTTATTTCGGTTTTAATCTTATAACTTTAATTTTATAATTTTATTTTCGAAAGCTGAAAAAATCCTTACCTTGCTTAGAGTCCAGCATTCAATAAAATGACCGATCTGGACTTAAATATTTGCTACAGATGATAAATTACGTGCTCATAATCATATTAAAACGATATATTTAATTTTAAGTATAAAATATTAGGTGCTCCCTCTCCCCTACTTGCAACTGTAACTTGAACTGTAATTTGATATATTTAACTAAATATTTCTACATTGTCTACATAAATATCTCTTAAGACGTATACATAAAAATATCAGAATAAAGAAAAGTGGCTATAAGTTATTGATTACAATCTTTAGCTAAGCATTATAGCTGCTAATTAATGACTAAATCAGTTTAATGAATAAATGAGGAATAAAGTAAATGATCTGTCTCATAAAACGCGCACGCGATACGTTAAAAATTACAATGCCGATATTTAGATTAATCACTTCCACGTGGTATTGGCACGTAGACGTACAGTGCTCAAAATAAAAAGACGGAACAGCCTAATTAACTGTTGATCTAATGATCGGATTTTCACGTTCTAAGACTCAATCTTAAAGATTCCAAAGGATAACCTCAAATAGGCTAATTAATTAGAGCTGACGATATTTTGAGTCAAGAAATCAGACACGAAAACGTACTTTCTCAGAATAAACATACTTCTTCCGACGGATTCGGATTTCTTACACCCAAAATATAGGGGTTAGCGGCAATCTGGGAAATATAATCCCAATAATTTGGTCAGGACAGCGGTTCAAAATTTGGATCCCTTTTAATGATAATTTTACTTTTTGCGTACTTGGCAATATCTCGAAGATTTTTCAAGGGAATATAAATTTTTTTATACGCAATTGTAAAATTCATTTATCCAAAAATAATCCCATGTAAAATATAACTTTTAATAAATATTTATTATTTTTTTATTATTTTATTTAATATCAGTCGAAAACTTTTTATAATACTGTATAAAATTTTCGATTTTGATTTGAAATTTGTTTAATACTGTATAATATTTTCACAGTATTTTAATTTATGTAAGTTTTCATGTCCAAATACAAAATTTGAGTGAAATCGGTCAAATAGTTCATGAGAAATCGAATTTTTAAAATACAATTTTTTTGAAATTCTATTTCTCAGGAACTATTCGACCGTTTTTACTCAACTGTTGTACTTTGTCATGTAAAATTCTGTTCTTTAAAATTATGCAAAAGATTGCATACCTTATAATTCGAAATTTTTTCGACTAATAAATAATTATAAAAATAAAAATTTATGAATATTTATTAAAAGTTTTTTTTTTTTTTGCATGGATAAATGAATTTTATAATTGTGTGCAAGCATTTTTACATTTACTTTAAAAAAATTGTCGAGATATAGTGAAATAAGCAAAAATTAAAATTAGCATTAAGGGTGCTAAAGTTTGGACAGCCGAACTATTGGGACAATATTTCACAGAATACGGCTACCCCATATACTTGGGGGCTAAAAATCCTGAATTTGTCGAAGCAAATGTATGTTTTCCTCAGAGAAATAACGTTTTTGTGTCTGATTTCGTATCTTAAAATATCATCTGCACTATTTAATTAGCATAATTGAGATTGCCCCTTTGAATTATTAAGAATAAGTCCTAGAACGTGAAGATCCGATCATTAGATCAAAAGTTATTAAGGATTGACCGTTTTTATTTTGCGAACTGGATATGCGTTTCGTTCTAACTCTGCATGACTATGAACCATGTTCCTCAAATTGTACTTGCTCAGTTACTTTTAAACATACGTACATGAACGTGCATGAAAATGCTAAATTTCGCATTCAAAGTTAAGCAGTTTTGAGTTTTTGAGTAAAAAGTACTTTTTCGCAATAAATAATTATTAAGGAATATCTAACATAAACGTTTTCTTGGGTGTAAGTCATTATTTACAAAAATGTACTAAAATAAGACGGGTAACTCAATTTTGAAGTGCATTATGTTTTATAGTAGGAGCTTTTATTTTAAATACAGTGATGTCACTTATTCGACAATATTCTTATGCATTGCGTTTTCTACAATCATGTATTTGAAGTCTTTTAACTGTTATAAACCAATGATGATTTACAAATTATGTCATTTACACTTTTCCCGTGTAGCTTATCATGAAAAAACACCAATTTCAAACTGAACAGCATGGTAGCTCTGAAATAATTCTCATTTTGTGAACGCCTTTACTATATGCAAACACCATTTTTGCTCATTGATCAAAAAACGTTCAATTACACTCAAATATTCTCTTGAACCAACACAAAATTTTCTAGTTTGTTCTGAAAGGTTTCAAGATTTATGGGAACTTATGGCTGTTGTTTTATCGCATGTCATTTTGATAGACTATTGCATGCTATTTATAAAGACTGTCCTACAATGATTGAATTTTTTTTTTTTTAATTAGTATTGTGAGTAAGTGTTTCTGATTATTTAGACTGATAAAGTATAATTTTTGCATTTTTAAAGAATTCTCAAAGTGAAGCGGAAGTTGAAATTACTCCAGCAGTTATAAAGCCCACCATAATTGCTCCTCCACCTTCACCTGATCTTCAGAGATTGGCAGATCTTCCTCAATTCATTCCACCACCTCCAACATTTGTACCAACTCAAACTCCTCCTGGATCTCCTAACACCTCACCTACTTATATACCTCTTCAGGAGACAAGCTCGAAACTCAAGAGCTCTCTCACGCAAGAAGGACAAAATGCGTGAGTCACGCTCCCTTTCTAATAACATCTTGGACTTTTTGGGGAAATACTTGCGTGAGTCACGGTCATTATCTCATAAGAGTTTGCACTTTTTTTTATAAATTTGATAACAAAATAAATGTTCAATCAGAAAAAGTGCAAACTATTTTCCTTTCGGAATGAAACCGTTCATCTTTTACTTCGAGAAATGTAAAATATGCAAATTGACTAGCTGTCGTTTTAACAAGAAATTGTTTCATTTGAATTTACATTAAATGTTTTTTCAAGCAAAACAAAAAATCAAGTTTGTGGAGGGTTTATGCATGTTTTCTTAGGACAACTAGGTTTTTTTTTATTATTCTTTGACTAATGAAATAAAATAAAACAGCCAACGACTCACTTATTTTAATTTTATTTTCTTTAATATGTTTGATTCATCCGCTTTCCGTGTTAAAATATTTCAGCACAGAAATATGCGGTATATCTAGCATGGTTAAATAAAGTGTATTTTAATCCTAATTATTAACCTTTTAAACTTTACTTCTTTTCAAAGTGATTGATTTTGTTGGTAATGCGTAACTAATTTTTAGATAATTATAGTTTGAGCTGTGCAAAACGTGCGTTGTGGAAGATATTTAAAAAAATAGCCTTTTTTTCGAAACAACAGTTTATCTAATAATTATATCATATTAAGATCAGTTTACGCTATTTGAAAAATGCACAGTGCACAAAATAGAAAACGGAACACCATTCATATTTTTTGATCTAATGATCAAATCTTCGCTTTCTAGGACTCATTCTTAATGATACGAAGGGCTAACCTCAAATATGTTAATTAATTAGTGAAGACGATATTTTAAGTTACGAAATCAGGCACAAAAATGTACTTTTTTGGAATAAACGCAATTTTTTTTCCAACGAATTCGGAATTCTGACCCCCAAAATATAGGGAGCAGCTGCAATCTGGGAAATATGGTCCCCATAGTTTGCTCTGAAGGGCGATCCAAAGTTTGGACCTCTTGATGTTAATTTTGCTTTTTGCGTATTTCACCATATCTTGAGAAATTTTTAAGTGAATTGAAAAATGTTTGCACATATTTATAAAATTCGTTTATCAAAAGAAAATTCCATACAAAAAATGAATTTTGATAAATATTTATTATCCTTTTAAAGTATGTAATTTTACTTAGCAAATTACAAGAATTCCTGAGAAATGAATTAAAAAAGTCGTATACTTAAAATTCAATTTCTTTGGAATTATTCTACAAATTTCGATCAAATTTTGTATTTTGCCATTGGCAATTATACACTTTACAATGAGATAAAAAATTTTGCACCTTACAATTTAAAAAAAAATATTTCGAATAGTATTTAAGGAAGTAATAAAAATACATACCAAAATTTATTTTTTGTGTAGTTTTATCTTTGAATAAAAGTATTTTATAAGTGCATGCCAAAATTTTTCAATTCGCTTAAAAATTTCTCGAGATATGGCGAAATACGCAAAAAGTAAAATTAACACTAAGGGGTTCCAAACTTTAAACCACTCTCCGGACCAAATAATGGGGATCACATTTCTCAGATTGATAGAGAGGATTCATCCCCATTGAGATGAATTACCACAACTATGGAACTACAAGAAATCACTGTCTCAAAAAAAGGAATGAGTCGTATCAATAAATTTATAAATGGATGAAATTTAATTTAAAATAAATTTCATTTGCAAAGTAATTTTGACAGTGATACTATATGCATTTAATTTTACAGATACATTTTCAGCAGCTCCAAGGCGAACAAAGAATCCTACTCTGAATTTTAAAATACAAATTGGACCATTTGGTTCATGTTCATAAAAATGAAGTAACTTTACAGCTTTTTCTATGTCTTTTTATATTAACTATTTATACCTTTAATATAGAGCTCTGAAAAACTTTGAAACTTTATCTGCAAAACTCTTCTCATAATGTAGTTGGAAAAAGTTTATTCTAATTGGTAAAAGAATATTAGGATTTTTTTCGGCAGCACAAAGTCATCTTCTTGAGTTAGGTGAATTTGTATCATCTTATTTTTCATATTCAAACCAAAAAAAGTCTTAGTCTGGCATACTCATATTTTTCTTTTCCCACTTGTCTACCTTGCTATTATATATATTTCAACATTAAGAACAAATGTCGTCGTACAAATTGTTCGATTTTCTGATGGGTCCATAAATACAATTTTTTTTAACTTCCTGGTGTTTCAATTGTCTTAACCTCTTCAGCAGGTATTTTTTATCCAGAACAAATTTCATCCATATCAGTTTTGTCTTAATAATCATTTATCGACACATAACCAAAAAAAAAACTCAAATTAATTTTCCAAAAGTCCAATATTCTAGGTTACCAAATGCAATATTCTTGTTTCAAATAAAAAAAGGTATTTATATACTTTTAAACATGTCAAGTTTTCAAGTTTTGACTAAAAATCTGAATATTAACTTTATCGATAGAAAAGGATAGTGTCATGAATAGGTACTCTAGACGATATTTAATTTTAGCACAGACAGAAAAGATTAAAAAAAAATATATAAAAGGACATTTGTATTTCAGTACATATCAGTTATCACAAAGACAGTTGTTTCGCAATTTCATCCTGCTAAATGGAATTGGTGGAAAATACTAGACTCTTTATTGTAGCTATCACGAGATGAAAATTTAACTCTAGAGTGCTTGTATGACAGAAAGTCTCCACCTATGGCTCAAGTTCAGTATAAGGGTTTTAATCTAAAATCGTAGTGTATGACAGCAGGAAGTGAGAATGCTGTTTTAAATATTCAAAATTAAAATTTAACAAACCAACTCATCAGGTACAGGAATCAAGCGATGGCCTGCGATTAGAGTGCCTGATTGCGAAGTCAATGACTACGGGTTTGAATCCCACTCAGGACATGGATGTTTCCCTCTGTCCCTTGTTATGTGCGAATGTGACCCATCCAATGAACGGGTATTTGTGGCAATGTGGGGCGGGTAATGTTGCTCGCCTTCGTAACTTTGGTCAGAACACTTTCGGCATCTTCTATGGCGAAGAAAGATAAGTTCAGTGTCTGGCGTTGAAGAAAATCAAGTGAAGTTCTATTCTTCGACATGATCAAAGACACCGCAGCTATAAAAAGAAATTTGCAAGATTCACTTATAAAGTATACATTTTACTCCGTTCCCATTGGAATAACCATAACTCAAGCTTTCTAGGTATCCTTCACATATATTATGAAAATCATAATCGATGGGTATAAAAAAGTTACATTTTTCGTAAGTATACTTATGAAAATGTTCTAAATGAAGCAATTTATTTAAACTCATGTTATAACATCAATTTGAATAAATAATTTTTTTATTTGTCTTTTACTTTACAGTAGTTATTTTTTTTTAGTAGTCACTTACTTTTCAGTAGTCACCTTTTCTTAGTAGTCACTTACTTTTCAGTAGTCACTTTTATTTTAGTAGTTCCTTACTTCTCAGTTTCAATTTTTCTTGACAATCATCCTTCGATATTTTTATTTAACTGGAAGCATAAATTTTTCTAAGTTCAAATATCATTAAGAAAATCAATTTTCTTCTACATTTTAGAGGAAGCCAAGGAAGTCATCCCACTAAAGTTCACTGGGCCCCTGACGTTGGTTGTGAGGCAGATCGAGATGCAGTATGGCTCTGATGGTAACTTTCAATTTCCCAAAAGCTTGAGGCAGATACTGAAGAAAAGATTATACACTGAAAAGCAGCGTTTAGCTTCTAGTGTAAATTTAATTAAAGCATTTATTGAAATAAAATTTTCTCTAGATGTCGTCAAGATTAAATTAACACATTGTTAGTCAATCAAACCCATTAAACTTTGAGCAATATCTGTATTATTTTGATAAAAAAAGTAATAATTTTCTAAATTAGTAAATTAAAAAGTAGGTCAAATAAATGCTGTTTTGGTCACTAAATCGAGGACTTATAACGGCATGTTACTCAATTTACAAACTTCCACGAGTTGTTTCCTGATAAGGCATTTTTAGCTTCAACAATAATGCCCAAAGCGTGAAAAATTAAATATTTAATTTAAAGTCGTTATATATCTACAATTATTCAATATTTATGAAAAATTTCAAGATGACATTATATTAAATTAAAAAAAAGTTGAAAATTATTTATATTAAAAATGAGCAACATCTACAATGTTGTCCCTAAAGTGTGCTATTTTCTTTTTTTAAATTTTATTTTTTTTTTTAAATTTCAATATTGTGGTAAAATTTTCTCTAAATAAGTAATAGCAATGAAAACCATGATTTTAAGATAAATGTATTTTTATTTTATCAATCATATTTTAAGCAAATGATTGACAATGTGTTAATTGTTTCAAAAATAATAAATTCTAGTTCTAAATGTTTTTTTAATGAAATTTAATCTGCTTCAGTCTGTGCCACGAGCTTTTGGTGAAAGATTATCGTTTGCTGACGAAACTAAGCCAAATGAATTCGCATGGCCACTAGCCAATTGAATTCGGCATGGATGCCGAAATATATGCTAAATTTCAAGAGGAAGCTCAAAGCACAGAAAATGCAGAAAAGCTGAAAAGTTCTCAAAACTCTGTAATAAAATACGTTACAAATATCAAGCACGCATACGGATCAAAATATTGAACATAATAAGAAGTGAAACCTTGAAATATATTGGCTACTTCACCGTGATTGCCAAATATCACACATCAATAACTAGTTGAATGTTGGTTTGAAAAGAGAGATTTTTATCTATAAAAATGACACAAAAAATGGCTTATAATCAGACACAAAAACGTGGCAATGAGAAGTGATAACTAAATTGACGATGGACAATGGAATGTAGAGTTTCAGAGCTACGTGAACTCCAAGTTTTTAAACCCAATAGACATTGAGGGAAAGTCTTTAAAAAGTTTCATTCAAATAATATGATGGGATTGATACCTATATGCTTACCCACACAGGAAATTATATAGGTATAAGTGATCATGTGCCAACAAAACTTATTGTACAAAATTTGACCATTCTACAAAACAAATTTAATTTACTCGTTTTTAAAGGTATAAGTGAAAAACTTAACATTGCTGTTTGTTGTTGCTAATTATCAAAAAAAGGTTCGAATTTGTTCCTGCCAAATATTTTGTATTTGATGTACAGATAATCAAAAGTTTGTATTTATGAAAATCTAAAAATAATGTGCTTATAAAACAAACAAAAAAATACTTGAAAAATATCAAGTCTTCTGTATGCAGATTTTGTATACAGAATTGTAACCAAAAATATATCTATAATTATTGGTGTTTGTGTTGTACCTGCAAATTTTATAAGTATAGATTGAAAATTAACAAAACATAGTTGTTGTATTGTAATAATTTAAGAACGAAAGAACATTATAATTTGAGTTAGTTTTTAAAGAAAATTATGTTGACAGCTCATAATTTTTTCTCTAAGTATTGCTGATAGTCTTAGAGTGACACAATATATTGCTTAATTTTTTTTTCGAATATAAAATTAACTTATATTTTCTTTAATATATTAAATTTTCTTTTAAAAACAACATGAAACTTAATGTCCCACAAAATCACTGCTTTAGCACCTGGAACTTTGCTCGCAACACCTGAAACTTTGCTCGCTTATCTTTAATTAACTTTCATAAACTTGTTAGAGAAAAGTGTTAAAAAGGCAGCTGCTTTCATTTTTTATGTGTATATACTTGCCGTTTTCCATCAACTATATGAGTTTGCAAAAAAGAGTTAGTATATCTTGTATTAAATTTCCTTCACGAATTTATTTGAAAATGAAACTGATGAAAGGAACTTTCAGCCGAACATCCTTACTAAAAGTTCAAAAATTTAAAGCTTCTTAGACAAAGCACATATTATCCCAGAAATACAGAAAAAGTTTAGAAACATATTCATTTAGTCCCTAAAACATAGAAAATATCAGTTTGTCCTCAATCATTATTAAAACTTATCGGTTAAGCATTTGAGAAATCAAAAACAAGGATATTGCTTTATGAAATAAGAAAAACTTTCGAAATGTAAGAATATTAACTATAATATAGATATGCTAAAAACTTGACATTTCTTAAATACATTTAAAATTATTTGAACGCTTATACTGAAAACTAATATTTAAATTTTACAGCACACTCATTTAAAATTCTTTAACAAAATTAGTAATCAAATGTAAAATTTAATTACATTAATAAATTTAAAATTGAACAAAAAGCTCACCTTACATTAACATTCGTACCTGATTATAAAGACATGACAGGCAACGTAAATAGAAATGCCAGTGCTAGTGCTGGGCCTTTGACACTGAGATATATGTTTTTCTGGGTATATATTTGTATGATATCTGTTTTACTACTTATCTGTTTAAAACTACTATGTTAATTTAAAATTATTTTTTATTGGCATGAAGGTGAAATTTAATTTTATGTTAACTATGAATTACTATTATATGCAGAGGGTAATCTGTTCAAGGTTATCCCAACGGCCGGTATTAAATTCCAGGCGTGTGTCTATATATACAGAAATACATGTATTACATACGTAAATAATACATAAAGGCGTGTGTATATACATAAATACATTGATCTTAGTTTCAGTTACAGATTAAAATATTTGAAATTATCGGACACAAACGCATTATGGCACTATATACCGAAGAGCCATTACATTATGACCACCCTACTAATAACATGTAGGACCACCTTTGGCCCTCAAAACTGCTAGCACCCGCCGTGGCATTGATTCCACAAGGTGCTGATGGGTAGTCTGAGGTATCTGGTACCAAGCGCTCATCAACTAGTCCTGCAATTCCCTCACATTGCGAGGGGGTAGCGTGGCAGCACGAATTTGGTTCTCCAAGAAGGACCACAAATGCTCTATCGGATTAAGGTCAGGAGAATTTGGGGGCCAAGACATGACTTGAAAGTCACTGGAATGTTCCTCGAATCAATCCATGACGATTCGACCCTTATGACATGGTGCATTATCCTGTTGGTAAACACCATCCCCCGCAGGAAAAACTGTTGCCATGAATGGGTGAACCTGGTCTGCAACTATGTTCAAGTAGCTTGCAGACGTCAGGGATTGTTCTATGAGAATTATGGGTCCTTATGTGCCCCATGAAAACATTGTTCCTGGGCGAGAAACCATGAAAACCTGGGCGAGACCATTGTTAACGATGGAGGGTGGTCATAATGCAATGGCTCTTCGGTGTGTATTATTTTAAGAGTTAACTTACCAACTAAAAAGTAAAATAAATATAGTAAAAGAAAACATGATCTTTCTTAAAAAAAATATTTAACAATTCGTGCATTCAAACGTTGTTTTTATTCATGCATTATAGTTAATGTATATTTTCGCATTATTTTCGTTTAATAACTATTCAATGACTCTTGCACCAAGAATTGCTATAGCACTGACTCACTCCTAACTATTCAACCAAAATTAGTACATTGGTTTTCAGTTTCATTCACATTGCTAGTATGGAGGAGATAAGTTAACTCAATTTTCTGTACATATATTATTTTTTCCACTTTTGTGTTTATGTGTAAACTAACTTAAAAAAGGTTGAATTTGTTATTAAAATGCTTCATAAGAAATACCCCCAAAATGTTTCATAAGCAATTAGAATATTTTTTGAAGACATAATTTTAAAAATGTTTTAGAAAGCATAAAAAGTGCGATACCAGTATCGTGTTCATAGTTTTAAGAAAATATGATGCGGAGTGGGATATAAAGTCTATGCTTATAAGTTATTAGTCTATGCTTATAAGTTTTGAAAGTTAAATGAATTGGATTAAAATCAAATTAAATTTTAAAATTTATTGCGTACTTATCCGGGATGTTTTGGTAATGAATTGATTGTTTTAAAAATATGACACTAAATTTTAGAAGATTTTATTAATTCGTCATTTCTTTCTACTTGATTTATAACGTTTTCTATAATGATCAGTAGGATTTTCACAAGGGAATAAACTTAAATCATACAAACAATATTTAAAATAAAAGTCAACAGTTATAATATGTCTTTCTTATATTCCATAAAAATATTTTTTTATATTTTTTAAGCCATTATCGAAAAGATAATTGAAATTCGATAATTTAGATTCAAAGCAATTAGAGAAAGATACATAAACTTGCCTTGCTCTTATTACAGATGAAATCTAGTTAGGAACTCCATTATTTTAGTTCGAACCTAAAATAAATTTGATAAAATTTAAACAACGTGAAGTTTTTCACTATAAGTTTGATATTCAAAATTTTCCTTGTGCAATAAATTTTTAAAAGAATGAAAAAAACAACACTGTTGGATGAACTGTATCCTTAATTAAATTGTGTCTTCATAAAAATATTTCGTCTTAAATATCCAAACTAAATAAAAAAATTAAAGATGTATAAATATGACTCTGCTTTTTCTGTTCTTTTTAATGAATAAAATACATTTGGTTGTTTTCAAATTGAGACAAACATTTATACATAGTATTTTCCACCAGACGTTGCAACATATACCCACCTGACAAGAAACAAGGGGATTCAATGAAGAAAGAATTCTGGATGTTCTGAAACAAAGCATTCACCAAAACATTTTACATATCCTCATCAGATGATCGATCCTCAAGAATCTTCTTCTACTTGGTTTGAAGCGAATGGTAATCTGACGTTTCAAGAAAAGCACATCCGGGGAAAGTGCTTTTACTGTCTACTTGAGTTTGGTTGCACATCTTTACTACAGTATCATTCATAGTGTAGCAGATGTGACAAGAAAAGCACATCCGTGGAAAGTGCTTTTATGTCTACTTGAATTTGGTTGCACATCTTTACTACAGTATCATTCATAGTGTAGTTGATGTAACAAGAAAAGCACATCCATGGAAAGTGCTTTTACAATGTACTTGAGGGCGAATGCACATCTTTGCAACAGAACCAATCATAGTGTGCAACATCCGCGATTGCCCATGATAACATATGGATTATTTCCTTTACATGGTAACGTTATAAAACGGAAAAGCATAATATTTAAAGCTGTTACATATTTGAACAGCTGTTACATATTAAGCCAAATGTACTCTTGTGATTTATTGCGTTTTTCATGTGGATGTTAATGTTACCTTTTTCAGTAATTCAAACAACCCAGATCTGTAAGGATCTGTTTATTGTGATTTTTTTTATAAAAAGTAATGCGTTTCTACTGAAGTAAGTAATTAGAAATAGAATGGATAATGTAAAGATTTCAGAGAGCTCGATATTTTTGCAAAAATATTTATATTTATGGACACTTATACTGTAGAAAAGATATGCGATTATTTTAAAAAAAGTATTCGTTAAAAATATTTACATTGGTATACTTTAAACTAATGTAGCAAACAAAGTTTCACGAGAAACTTTCTATAACTACCAGTTCGGTGGAAACTGTATAACTTATAAATTTTAAAAAGCCGAGTCATGTTTATAAAGTTTATAAGGGGTTATGTAGGATCGACAGAGTTAGAAACATTTGAAACTGAAATATGGTTTGTGTTAAATAAATTATTTCTGTATTATATATGCATTTATTTTCAGACTGATTAAAAAATTATCTTTATAGGAGAAAACCAACTTTTTATTTTATGAAGATAATTGACAGAGATATAATAGGTTCGAAGTAGGTATTCAATAAAAATAAAGCCTTATATTGATCTTAAGACTTATTTTTATTTTTTTAATATCATTTTTTACAGTCTCATTTAAAAGCTATTTTTGTTATCAATCAAATAGTTATTATCAGCTGGTTGAATATTGTATTTAAATACAGCACCGCAATATGTAATACTAAATGTACGGATATTCTGGTTCAACAATATGAAATTTTGTACTTTTTGTTTAGTACTGAAGAAAAATGTGTGCTCATTAGTTATTTATATATTAATCGCAACTTATTAATAAACATACAGTGTAAATCATTTAATGTAAAGTTACTTGTTTTCATTTTATAAAAAGATAAAAAGGTTATATTTAGACATAAAATTTAAGAATTCAAAAACGAAATGTTAAATACATTTTATTATTGATCTGTTTTAAGAAAAAATAAGGATGCAGGACAAATTTCCGATTTGCACAACATTTTATTGGAAAACAAATGCATGACTGGATGACACTTTATTAAACAGAGTGATTCATTTCTATTCGCTCAAATTTGATAGAGAAATAGATTATAATGAGCATTTCTTAAGTATAATCTTTTCATTGCATTTTTAAAACCTGTTTCAAAAACCATTCTTAAGGTGAGGGTGAACCTAAACAAATATCTATTAATGAAAGTTAGAAAGCAAATAACAAATGAAACTTTCCTTTGGTCTTTTAATCGTAGTAGTACTACTTTCCAATTCTTAATTTTTTTGTTCAAAATAAGTTTTGGAAATGTCTTTCGGTTTCCTCTCACAAATCCTTCTCTCATGAATTTCCCAAATTTGATGCATCTTCGTTTTCATATAAATAGGTATAAAATATACTGTTTTATAAAATTGAATGTAGCAGATTGAATAAACTAAAAGATAAACAAAAATTGTATTTTACTTAAAAGAAAAAAAAAAAGAAAATGAAGCTGTACATCTATACAACATTATGCATCCTAAGGCTAATTTTTAGTCATTTACATATATTTAAAGCAACTATTTGAAGATGTCTGTTTTGAAGATGACCATTTACCTGACTACAAGAATGACACGAATGATGAGTATTTAATTTTATTATTCTTTTTTTTTTAAGTTAAGGATAGACTCTTGGTGGTTTTGATTTCACTGTGCACAACCTGCTTCAACTTTGTACACTGGAAAAAATTCCAGTTCAAATCACAGTAAAAAGTACTTGTATGTAACATCAGTAAGATCCAATTTACCGTGAAATTCATTTTTTTACAGTAAAATAATAGGCCGTACTTTTTACGATAATATTTATTTAATAAAAATCATGTAATATTAAATGTTACTGTAAAATTTATGGTGCATCAGATTTTTGCTCCTCCAACTTTTACAGTAAAAGAATTTGAATTCAGAAAAGTATATTTCAAGAGAAAACTTTGAGTAAATGACTTTAAACGTAATACTTGAATCTTAACAACAGCGACGAGTAATTTTTTTGACAACTCTTTCTATCAAATTGCGTTATTTTAATATAGGGTCATCGAAATGAAGCGCAAGAATTACAAAATTGAGTGATGAAAATCCATAATATAACATAATAAATGCTAGGAAAATATAATTATTCTGAACATAAATTTGGCAACAAAAATATTATGAGAAATCAAGCTCCTTTAAAACATATTTCAATATGTTACATATTGAGCAAAATTATTGATTTGATAGACATTAAGACGATAACCGATGTCCATCCATGCCTTGTGACGAATTTGTCGATTTGGCTTCAGTTCCGCAATGATTTGATTTTTTAAGAGGATGATATCAATAATTGTTTTCTATACGCATTTTTCTTAATGTATCTCTAAAAGAAGAAGTCTAAAGGCGCATGATTGGGACTTCGTTGAAGAGGCGTAATTGGACCATCTCTCATATTCTATGAGTTGGAGGAAAATTTGTCATTTACAGAATTTACACGTAGAGACATGCGGGGTGGAGGAAACTTTTCTCAACATTTTAAAACAAACATTTCTAAACACTTAAATCCCAAATTTCTATTCTATTAAAATCTCCGAATTCTTTTTCGATGACCCTGTACTTTCCACCCTTTCAATTGAGAATAAAAAAGCGTAATCCACCTTGTCATGTTAAAACATATTTCTTTGTTTCATTTATTCTAAAGTAAACTTCATAACCAGAAAACTCCCATTAGACTCTACAATTAGCTTGACACCACCATTGTTTTTCTAGGACCGCATTCAAAATATGTTTTTGTATAGGTTGGAAATTAAGCAGATATAATAAAGTATTTTAAGTTTCTCTGGTAACACATTTAAAAAAAAAGAAGTAAGTTTCTTTTCTTTTTATACTCGCTTTTTCAAGATTTGAAATAATAGTTTATATTAAAATAGTGTTTTGTTTATATCTGTATTTTTTGAAGAAGCAAACTAAATTAATTTACAATGTGCAGAAATATAAAGTGTCAATCTATACTTTATTGCAATTTCTAAGATATTTACAATGGTTCATTTATTCTCTATCAAAACATTCCTATTATTATTGTAATGTTTCTTAAGTTTTGCTTAGCTTTGTTTAACGATTTGTACTAATATATTTTCCTTTATTAAATTAGATGCTGTATATTTGAGAATATTTACATAATATGTGAAAATATTTTTTGCCTCATTTTGAAAAACATAAAACTATTGCACTTCTGTGAAATTTTCAGAACACGTAAGAAATTTATATACGACACAACGACAGTTGCTTAATTTCTTTATAATAGCTTCAATAGTGTTTGTGTATTTGTCATTGGAATAAAAATGTTGATTGTTCTCTTGTTAAATTCATTTTAATCTTGATTTAATTATTTTTTTACGCTCGACACAATGGGTAAGGTATATCGTTGGTGCTATATGATCTCTTAGATCAAAATATCAGGACTACAAACAGAAAATATTTAGGAAATATTTCTGCGGAATTCTCTATTTCAGATGCTGAAAGAAAAAACCTACATTTGCTTTATGAGAAGCCATTAGAGACAATACGAAAACCATTCAATGCTAGTCTCATGGGAGTCGGAATAAATCTCCTTGGATTTCTTTCTGTATGGAGCAGTTTTTTAGCTGGCTTTCTGAGATGCTAAAGTTTGCTCAACTATGTATATAATATGAGTTCTCCTTGTTTTAATTATTAACATCAGAATATCATATATTCAAAAACTTCTACTTATTTTTCTTTATCATTTACAGTGGAACGATAACATTTATTGGAGGGAGAAATCTTTTAGCAAACACACTTTTGCTTTAAAAAAATGACTTAAAATACAAAGTGATTATTTAGCTAGGTGACCGGTACATGTCCCCCTAATGAGCATACCATTCAAGAGAAAAGAGTAAAATTTTGTATATATGTATTATACGGCATGCACTTAAGAATAATTATAAAAACAATTTTCGATCATACGAATTACAATTAGAGTAACCGGATTTCGAAATTTGCAATATGCTGCACCTACTTTTTTTCACCAGAACCTGATCCTTACTATAAAAAAACTTAAAATAGAGTTAAAACTGCATTTATATTCCTGATATTGGAGACGACAGGAAGAGATGAGATATTTTTAAAATTTTTAACGTGATTTTTTTTTCAGAACTGTTAGACTCTGGCGTTATCGAGATGAAAAATGAAAACGATTCAATACAATTGCGCTTGTATATTGTGGGCGACTGCTATTGTATTTTTCATGGTCTCTAGTTATTGCCATCAGTAACTCTTGTTTGAGGAAAAATAGTATCCCAATTTTCACAGGCATCACATTGTGATGAAAAAGAGTGCTTTCATTTGAAATTTTCACTGCATCAATAACTATCACTGTATCCATAACCGTGAAAACCATTTAATCGTTTTTAAAAACTCATGAGCATATATCGTATTAAAATTGCAGAAAAAAATGTTATCCCGCTCTAGTGAATGCCACGCTCACCAGAGGGTCATATACCCAGGAGGACATTCGTGGGAAATATATGGATTCTAAGACTTTTGAAAATAGAATTTATTTCTTGCTAATAACCTTGGCATGTTACATCAGTCAAGTTTTAAATTCCTATAAAAGTCTATCAGACGACAGAATTTGCTCTAAAAAGATGTCTACTTTCTGTTGGTCAACACATGGAGTCACAATAAGATGTCCTAGTGATATGTCTCACTTTCGCTTCCCTCTCCCCTTTCCAGTGATTTTAACATTTCTCTTATCACTTATCGTAGTTGCCAAATTTACTGGTAGGGGATTAAGCCACCAGCTTGTTCTCCATGCTTGAACACCAGTATCCCTGGATACTGGTAGTTGAGGGGAGTCCTGGTATGCACTATTTTTGCCCGTGCTTCAGATAAACGAGACATTAAATGTCAAAGGTTTAGACATTCAAAGGCATCTTTTCGAGGCATATACAACTGTGGGCGCTGTTATGGTCATGCTGATATTTTCTGCGAGTTACCGCACCTTTGAATCAATTTAAAGGGTCATCACGAGATCTATTTTAGGAATTGTCCAAAATGGTCACAAAAGAAGAAGATACAGTCCATCATAGCGTTGCAAAATCTGACTTCTTAATGAAACACGCATATTTGTTAATACCAAAACTCCTCGTCCTGGTTTGTCCTGGTCTACGCCTGTAAAAATTACCTATTGCTCCGCCAATATTCAAACTAATTCTCCCTTCTCAATAACATCTTTTAAGCATTCTACTTTTCATTTTGGTGCTCTGAAATATAGGCAGAACAGGTGTACCCGTCTAGTTGGCATGATGCTACTGTAATACCCATTTTAAAGCAAAATAATGATCCAAAACACCCAGTTAACAATCGCTCTATAGAGTTAGCCAGCTGTTTTGTTAAAACATTTGGGTGCCTGGTTAAATCGCACCTTGTGCATAACTTGGAAAAAGCGCTTCATACTTGACTTTCAGAGTGGTTTTGTAAATAAAGATTAACAATAGACAACTCCTGATGATTGAATTCATAATGTGTCATTTTTGGAATTCGTATGTGTCACGACTGAATGTGTCATGACTGAATTCGTAATATCCTTCGTCTGGTGAACTCATCTTGTCTCTGTCTTTTTTGATATTGAGAAAGCTTATAATCGGACTCGGAGATATGGAATTCTTAAGGCATTGTTTGATATGGGTCTCCGAGTTGAGTTAATGTAGGGTTTAATGGCACAAGATCCAAAAAAAGGACATGATGAGCAAACAAACGTTTTTTTTCTAACAAATGTAATATAAAGCATATTTGTTTTGCCAAAATACATTATATTGTCAAAACTATACATGACATACAAAACATTCAGAAGTCAATAAAATCAGACAAGGGTGTAAATTGATTAAAATGGCATAAAACAGGCTAAAACGGTACGTTGTAATAAAATGCAAAGCTAATAAAATTGGGTAAAAGCGGTTATATACAGTATAAAAAACCAATCGCGAGTAAAAATGCAAAGAAGTTAGGATGATGAACTTTATACAACAAATATTTTATGCATTAAATAGAACTAATGAAAAAGGTAAAACGATGAAGGTTAAAACATGGGCAAGAAATTAAAATGTGATGAATCGTGAGTAAAATGCTGCAAATATTGCTGTAAGGAAGGGGTTAACCAGATATGAGTGTCCTTGGTCATTTACTCATTTTCATTCTTAATTAGTATTAAGTGGATCACTTTAAATCAGTGGTTAGGTTTCTCATCCCCCATAGACTATCCCACAATAATAATTTATTTTCCTTTTCATGTTGCACAATAAAGCCAATGTTGCGCGCTACAGCTTCCATTAATTCTTCGCTGCACGTCGTCAGCAATATTCTCAATATGCGCATATTTTCACGGGTGGTTCGAAATCTGCTGGATGTATGGGATGCGGTGTCATCATCGCTGATCCTTCCCATACCTACCGAATCCCAGATATTTGTTTCGACAACACTTCTGAAGCTGGAACCATCCTATTGGCACTGAGGATAATGTTGTCATGTTCTACTTGGAAGTATTGCAACTTCCAAGTAGAACTACAGTTTTTTTATATCCTTCTGAGACCCGAACTTTAAATTAATGACTGCAGACAGGATTTTAAAAGTCAAATTCATTTTTACATAGACAATAGCTTAGTAAAGGTATGCAAAAAGTAATCTTAAGAATTGAATTGAATGTGGGGTTTAGTGGCACAAAGTCCAAAAAAGGACACACTGCGCCAAGCACACGGTTTTAAAAACAGGTTAAGTAAAGCACACGTAATTCTAAAACAATGTTGTAAAGTTACATACATTAAAATCAATAAAACTGCATGGTAAATTTACTAAAACACTAAATAGTATAAAACAATTATATACAACTTAAAATTCCAATAGCGCATAAAATTGCAAAGATGTTAGGATGGTGATTTTTATCTAACAAGTCTTTTATATATAAAATTGTGCTTCCAAAAAAGGTAAGGCGTTGTTGGTTAAAACATGGGCAAGCGATTAAAATATGATGAATTGAAAGTGAAACGTTACAAGTATCGCATTGAGGAGGCGGTTCTCCGAACAGCAAGTGAAGATGAGTCAGCCGAGTATGTCCTATACGTAAGCGGGTGAGCTTGACATCTACCCCGCGCAAATGCAACACAGGCCAAGGTACTAGCGTGAATTTAATTGTGTGCAGTTTGTTTTCAATTTGTAAATCCCAGTATTGTTGCCACAAAGACATAGTAAACTGTCGTATATAATTCTTCATGTCAGAAATGGGGACTGATAGTGTTAATGGAGTCGTAGCAGATCGGGCAGCAGAGTCAGTCATGTCATTACCTGACATACCAACATGGCTGGGAATCTAGCAAAATAAAATGTTAAAACCACTTTTGTGAAGACTAACTAACTTATGTTTAATGATACATAAAATAGGGTGAACTTCGTTGCTTACATGATTATTCAACAGACGTAAAACACTTAGGCTGACAGAGTAAATGCAAAAGTGCGGTCAGTGATGAGATAAGTCGTAGAGCTATGAGAATGGCCACAGCTTCAGCAGTAAATACAGAACATATGGCAGCTGTGATATAACTGTATGTTCGATCAGCTATAATGATTCCACATCCACCATGCCCTGGAGAGTTTGACTCATTCGAAAAAACAGAAACATACTGAAAATACTCATGACGATGAGAGATGAATAGCTGAATATACACGCTAGGAGATATACAGGATTTTCTGTATGAAGCAAATGGAGAATAAAAGTGATATGACGGAATAATCCAAGGTTTGTTAAGAAAGTGATCGGTTGATTGAGATGGTGATTCGCAAAAATTGAATGTCTGGATAACTGAGCAAGTACTCTTAAGACATTTAAAGTTGAACCACATGCTGTCCAATATATTGGCTGCTGAATCTCAGAAGGATATACCGTATAATGAAAAATGCATAATTTTGCTTTTCTTGAGGTACAATGGAACGCGATTTGCGAATCAGTGGGGATAAAAAGTAAATAAAAATTATAAAATCTTATAACTAGCTAAAACCTTATTCCACCACACGAGACACGTGATGTTGGCTAATGGTAATAATTTATTTAATTTTGGACATTTCGGCCTAAAAACTAAGACAATTTAAGTATATCACAGATTTTCTTTTTCAGAACAAGAATAGGCGTTTATTTTAGAAGGATTTGTATAGACAAAGAAGTAGGTATCCAAATGAACTCCACGCTTATATTCATGCTCGTTTAAGAGGCGCACATCCTCATGGGTTAAATGTGAAAAATTATTTCACATTTGTCAGTGTAATTTTCTAAAAATTGATTTATAAAATTGAAATGCCATGAGCAAAGTTTGTAAAGATTTCAGTATTTATGTTAATTAAAAGTTCGTATAAGGTATCACATGCAGAAGCAGCTATGTAGTTCCCTTATGAAGAACAGAAAATTTAGAAAGAAATCTCTTCAGGTGATATCCATTCTTTAAGCTAATGAATATATGTTTCCTATTGCACAAACTTAGGTCCCTCTTCTGTATCAAAAACAGTCATATTAAAGTAAAGAAGTAACTGTTAATAATTAATTCCAAATTTAATCATTTTTATTCTCAATGTATATATATATATATATATAATTAAGCTTTNTATATATATATATATAT